CAATAATGTCATAATAACTATGAATGGTGTCAAGTAGGTACTAGACTAATTGGGAGATCACTTTGTAAATTATATGTCTAACCACTATGCTATACACCTGAAACTAATACGAAATAACATTGAATATCAACTCTGGCTGAAAAATTTCAAAAATTACAGTGTGAAAAAAGGAGGGGAGAAATCATTTCCATGGACAGGGGTGGAGTGTTCTGAGAAGGTTTTGTAGGAGAAGGGGAAAAATCATTTGTTGAAGATCGGATTTCACTCAACCTCATTTAATTCCCACATAAACTTCCAAGTTGGGTATTTTTACCCCCATTTTATAGATAAGGAAATTGGGGCTCAGAAAAGTTAAATAATTTGGCCAAGGTCACATAGATAGCAAATAATCAAACTCAATCACACTCCCAGGGCCCGGTTCCAAAGCTCGGGCTGATATTCCTGCACCAGATCTCTTCCTCTTCCTCCTCCACAGCCAGATAAAAAGAGTGATATCTGAGCTCAGCCTTCCAGATAACAATGGATTTCTACAGGCACATCTCAAGGGAGGACAGGGGCATTCCGGGAGTAGCCAGCCGCCTGAAGAGAGGAAAAGTTAAACCATATAGGGATAGGCAGACTCCCTCACATTACTGAGTACAGAATATATAAAGTGGAGATGTTTTGAAAGACGAAGCCAGTAAATGATTCTCCACTTTCCTTGTGATGTGCTCAGAACATATGGTAAAGAACATCTCTTATCTGCTTAAAAAAAATAAATGAAATAGTGTAAGACAGTTTGAATGTATTTGAAATTACTGCTTTATGACAATAACCTTGACCCTCAATTTTAAATACCCAATAATGCAAACTATGTTGAGAGGAAGACTGATTCTCTCTACATTTCCTTTTCCTGACTTCTTTGTTTTCATCTCTCTGTAAAAATGCTTTCTGGAGAATTAAACCATAAAATTAAAGACTAAAGAAACGAAATCTCAATAATTTACTTAGATAAATGACAAATGTCCTACATGCCAACTGACACAAGTATTTTCAAAGGAGAATTTTAATATTATATAACTAGATTGATTTAAATATTTTAAGAAGTTTAAAAATATTTTAAGTGTAAAAACTGGGGGTGGGATAAATGAGATATTATAGCCTAAAGTAATATAATATACATAGTAATGTGTCAGAGACCATTAAATGTGACTTCACCCAAGTGAGGGGGGAGGCATGCACAGCTAAGTGTTTCACAAATTATCAGTAAATATCCAGAAGTTACTACTCACTACTACAGAAAACATCTTGTATCTGTGGTCACAGATGTACTAAGAGCTTAAATTGTAGGTTCTTCTGATTACTCACAGCCTCCTGCCACTGGGAAGAAGGCTCTGGGCAAGGCAAGGGGTACAGGAAGGCTAGAAAATCTGAGATTTTTAGTTAGTGGACTTGAAAAAACCAGGACAGGAAATCGTTGCCTCCCAGAGTAGGCAGATGTCTCAGGTCCATTTGTCTCTTGCAGGGCAACTGGTTCACTGAGTCCCTGATAATGCTGATGACAGTGCAGATGCTGACTAATGACCCAGATCCCAGGCACCTGAGTAAGTCGGTTGTCACAGCAGAGAACTGGAGGTCTTCAACTAAATAGGACAACTAAAATGAGGGCTGCCAGACTGAAATGTTATTACCTGATTTATGATTTCCTGAACATTATGTAAGGGGAAAGATTTTCAAAGGATGCTATAATCAACATTCACAGCACAGAAAGAAAGCGTGCTTTTTAGAACCTGGGAGTCTTTTCACAAGCAAAAAATTAAGTGAAATCACTGCACTTACTTACTGATATTTTGGCTTTCCTGATATATTTTTAAACATTCAATTCTTCTTTCTTGAGGTCAACTTTGATGGGGTGGCAGTGTCTCCCTCCTCACCTCCATCCCTCCTCGCCCCGCCTCCCCTACTCTCCCTTTTCCCCAGCGCTTTTCTTCTGTTCATTTTCTGTCCATCTCCCTCTCCCTCATCTCTTCCCCCTCCGCTCTCCCTTGGCTCTTCAATCCCTTTCTCCCCATCTCCTTCCCTCGATCTCTCCTCCTTTCTCTGTACCCCACCCCTCTTCTCCTTCACTCACTCCCCTCCCCCGCCCTCGCCCCACCCCTGCCCCGTCTCTTTTCCTCTCTTTCTTCCCGGTGAAATATGTGAAAAGCAATTTTAGTCCATCTTGGTTTATCTTGAGTAATGTAATCTAGGCTGAAACTTTGCCTAAGGATCTAGGCCAGGAACAGAAGTTCATGCAAAGCTGATTGGGACATGACTTTTGATTTCTGAGTCACATAAATGAACTTAAGCCACTATCACTGCAGAACTACACCTCAAAAGAGCTGGGTCCGACAACATCACAGGTG